AATTATTTTAATAATCCAAACAAAATTCTTTTCAGATCTGTATTTACCTTAAATTTTTAGATATTTTAGCAAAATCGTTCTTTCCGTGTATAAATATTTGCTACAATTACATTAAGCTGTTCATATTCCGTAAATATATTATATATTAAGTCGTAGGAAGAACTAAATTGCCAGTATAAGCAAAGTTATATTATACTACATAATTGATAAATTTCGCTCACCAAATGTCGAAAGTGTTCCTAAAATCCGGAATATTTCCGCGCAGCCAGTTCATTCACTTTAATTAAAGCAGGAGCCAATTAAGCTGGAGAAAACTTCAAGACGTACGCTTTCTGGGTAGAAAATTAGACAGAAAAGCGGTGGAGTTGCGGCATGACGTTACATGACATCCGCACAATCGAAGACGTTCGTGCGCGTCTTTACGCGAACTTTTGCGAGACTAAACAAAAAAGTTATCCAATTCCGGAAACCCACGGCCTACATTCCACTAAACTGAATCTGCATAGATATTGGGTCGATCTACCGCGAACAAGCGCGCATCCGCCTCTGGCGAAAATTCATTTGGCACTGAAATTCGTGCTTCACCTTGTAGAATCCGATTGGGATAGGAATAGCGGAAGTACAATTCGGTAAGGGAGAAGAAAAGGAGCTTGTTTCACGGCCTGCGTGATTTAATTTTCCACAATTTTCCGCTCGATTAATGATCAACGAGTGTATTGTGTTAGCGTCTATTCATTGCGAGCTCTTCAAGATTGGCATTCTTTCCTTCAACAATAACTCGTTTAAATATGCAGGCTCGTATTCAAAACGCATTTATAACGATGTTAATGCACATATATTTATATTACGTATACTGTATACAGAATTTCAGAAAAGCGTGCGATAAAAACGTGTGCTGCTCAATATGGGTCGTAAAATGTCGAAATCAAGAGTACGAGGGAAGTTCGAGAAGTTCTCAACCTGACACCGAAATGACGCCACAAATATCGAATTGGTATAATTTTTGACAAGAATCCAGCACGGAGCTACTGTTAAAATTTCAGACAGATATGTTCATTAGTTTCTTTGTTTCAGTCGTGTAAAACAACGAACTTTTGATTTTATGACAATGTATCCGCTCACACTTCCTCAATTGCAGTCACAAAATTGCACGAATCGCGCTTCAAATTGATTCCGTACGCATCGTATTCATCAGATTTAGCTCCCAGTGACTTTTTCCTTTTTCCAAACAATGAAGAATTGGCTCGCAGGAAAAAGATCCATCTCAAATACTGAAGTAATGTCGATGTAACTAATGCTTACTTTAAACGAATACGTGTATTGAACTGAAAGAGAACAATGTTAAAAAAAAAAATTAAAAATCATATGTCTCTTTATCAAGTCGAAAACTTTTCGAACTACCTCCTTTAATTAATTAGTGAAATGGCTTGTCAATCTGAAGATGCTGATCAACTTAACTGACTTAAGTATGCATATTTTACAGCGTATAATCGTAAATTTTTAATTAGAATGAAGCAAAAATCAACAGTTAAATACAATTAAAGAGGAGACTTGTGAAACGCTAATCTAATTTCAAGTTTTATTTGAGTAGGTCTGAGAGAACCACTGTGACATTTATCGATACTTCTAATCAAGGACGCAGGGTATCGCCTTTTTTTTCTTTTTTTTTGCTCCGTTAAACCTGCGCTATGAGCAATAAAGTCGCAAGCAGAGAATGGTTGCAAAGGGCGCGGTTCGTGCTAGATCGTTGAAAATAAATTTGTAGCAATTATGAATATCTTGCAGAATAACGAATTAATTAATAAATGAACAAATTTTGTTTTCATTCCTTTCTCTACTTTATGAAATAATAGAAATTCGTGTAGTCCTCAATAATTATAAAATATCTACATCTTTCTTTGCCTCTCTTCGTTGACGATAATCGGAAAACTGCGAACCGTTATTATTAGGAGGCTGCTGTTATTATTAAGAATATCTTGCTTCGCGTAATAAGTCATTCTTCCGTTCTAATTTGCAAGATCATTGCAGCTCTCGCGGTATTGTGTGGTAAATTAAATGGAAATTCTTCGACCTTACTTTGAACTTAAGTTTTATAAGTAGACTCAAGTAACTTCGAAAAGACGTCTTTCTTTTAAAAACTAATTTACACCATTATATATCTGGTTCAATGAATAATAGTTGTAATGTTTTTATCTCCTTCGCTTTAAAAGCTTGTAGTCATATCTGTTTAATTCAATAAATATTATTAAATAGACTTATATTAAAAATGTAGCATATTACAAATTTATCATATCGTCGCATTGATAGAAAAATGGCACAAATAAAAAAATTAGCATTTTTAAAATAATAAAAAGAAATTGATTCTACTTATACATTGTTGTGGAAAAACGATGTAAATCTTATATATTACTAAAATACAATTTTAGATATGACACAACCTTATATTAAGATTGCAGTGTTTGAATTTTGAAAACTCGTGGCATAATTTTAAAGAATACATTATAATTGAAAGTATAACATGGAAAGAAAATGAAGTCATGCATATCCATTATCCTAATTAAGACATTGTTCCAATTTAGAAAGAATTTTAAAAGTACTTTATTAAAAAGTTGCTAATTTTGTTTGTTTAATACAAATCTTCTCTTATTAAATATATCCGTTCTACCGGTTTTTAAATTCTAATATAATTCTAAAAGCTCTAATTGACAATCCGATAATTCTCTGCAGTACTTTTTTTTTAAATGAGATTTCATACTTTTTTTTTATCGACGAAACCAACGGTAGATTTTTGCTTACTATCTATTGAATTTTCATATAATTTTCCTACGTCAGCGAAATATCTGGATTTACTACTGAGCCGTTAACGTGTCTGCGTCTGTTGGTCGTAATCCTATTTTGTGCATCAATTCCGTAGCTACATATAGCGCATGCG